CTTAACATCGTGGAGATTTATCTGACTTGCTAAATGGAGACTATCTCGTCTTGGAAAAACCAAAATTCAGGTACAACAAAACCTCACTGTGTGAATGAAAGCGAAGTTAAAACCTGTTCCCCTGAAACTACAGACTGTTTTGGAAGATGTAAAACTTTATTGTATTTATTGGCATAGAGTAAGTAGGTCTACCAGTTAAACCTTCTCAAGCTGGCATTGCAACCAAGCCTGCTTACTGAACATGTACTAGTCTTCTACAGAGCATCCATTGTTAGAAATTAAAATCCCAATTAAAGTGTCCTAACTACTGTAAATATTCCTCACTAAGTTTTTTTTTGCATGCTTCTTGTCTTCTCTCTGGAGCTCTTTTTCTGTCACAGGGCTTCATTTACCAAGTTTCTTTTTTTCTCCTGCTACACGCACTTAAAATCTCCGTGTTCTACAGGCACAGACTTATCTCCAGTCCCTGACCAGGTGTCTTATAAAAATGCTGTCTGGTCACCATGGAAACTCCATGAGAGGGTACAAATGGATCAGCAGAAAGGCATCCCCGCAAATAGAAAAAATATATCCAAAGCATGTGTTTTGATGAATGGTGGGTCAAGTGCCTTATTTTCTGATCCAAGGACAGTGTTAATGTACCATGCAAGTGAAATGAACATTGGAGAAGATGACCAGTATACCATGTAGGATGATGACACATGGGAAGACACCCAATTCTTGGTCTCTAAATGTCATGGGAAAATGTACTTAAGTAGAGGCAGGGCAGTCTACCTCCTGTTTTGCATAATCTATTTATCTTTTCCCTTATTCTTTGTTATTCTGTCTTCAGATGTTCTTCCCTGATTTGCATAGTATTGCTTTTGTATTATAAAAGTGTGGGTTGGGAGGCCAAGGTGGGCGGGTCATAAGGTCAGGAGATCAAGACCATCCTTGACAACATGGCAAAACCCCATCTCTACTAAAAATACAAAAATTAGCTGGGCGTGCCTGTAACCCCAGCTACTTGGGAGGCTAAGGCAGAAGAATCGGTTGAATCAGGGAGTCGGAGCCCACATTGCACCACTGCACTCCAGCCTGGCAATAAAGCGAGAGACTCTGTTTAAAAAAAAAAAAATTGTGGGGAGACAAGGTGCCTGTCGCTGACCAAAAGAACCATGAGCCAAGTAATACTCATATGGCTTGGCCTGAGGATTTGAAAGATACCTCATCAGTCTACATGGGCCATTTTGAAGTCAGCTACCTTGAGCAAATCGCTTGACCTCTCTGGGCTCCCGTTTTCTCATCTATAAAACAAAGACATCAGCGTGTATCTTCCTGGCAGGGTTAATACCTACACCAACGTATCTGTCATACAGCTGTCTTTAGAAGCCTGAAAACTGAAGAAATACTAAGTTCTAGTACTACAATTCTACTAACCTTTGCAGAAATGAGTCTAACTTAGAACAAAGAAATATACTTCAGGCAGACGAAAGTGACTCAACTAGTGTATCAATTTCAATGAGAGGCATGTGAATGTTTTTATGAAAATATAAAGTACTACATGAAGTTTAAGGTATTAAACCATCTTCCTATAAAAAGATTTGTGAAGATGAATCTCAGCAGAGGAAAGAAAGGGCAAGCAAGAGAAAAGAGAGAAGGCAAGAGATGGTAGTTAAGAATAGATGGTGCCTGGAGCAGGTGATGATTACAATAGAGAACTAAGAAACAGGAAATCTCTCTGGTACTTAGCCTTGTGCATTTGCTTCTCCTGGGTTCTCACAGTTCTGATAGTCTAACCCAGAACCTTCATCAGAATTTATTACTGCTTTGTGCACAAAGTGTGAACTAAAAGGTTAATGAAAGATGTCAATAGCTGCCATGAATTCACTTCAACATCTATTTAACAAATAACTATTTGTTTGGCACTAACAGAGTCACCAAAAAAAAAAAAAAAAAAAAGGTAATACTCTCACTTACTAATTCACTGACAAAAATTATCCTCTGGACACTTATAACCTGTGGGCACTCCTTCAAGAGTCCTAAATCTAGTAAGGAGATTTACAAGTTCACAACTGTCATACAAGACATAGTATTATAAATTGCTTTAAGAATACTGAGGGAAGTTAATCCCAAAGAATTAATAAGCACAAAGTCTTCATGAAACATGTTGATTTTTAAATAGGGCTGATGCTAGAGGCAGGGTTTCTCACCAAGGAAGATGAGAATGGGCTGGAGCAAAACCCAGAAGCAGGAAGGCAGGAGGTCAGTTTTAGATGAATATCAGCTACAAATGTGGAAGCAGTGTCCCCTGATATACAGAATGACTCTCTCTTGTAGATAGCTGAGGTGTTTGCCATAGATGAGTGGCAACAAGGAAAATCAGAGGTGTGTACTGGGGCAGAGGCTGCAAGCAGAAAGTCTAATTGGAGACATTGAAGTAGAAGGAACCAGGAGAGTGTCTGTGGGACAGAAAAGTACAGGAGGAACTGGAGGGACCCTTCTTGTAAACTGCTCCCACCAGAGCTCTGAAATAAGCCTTCTACCACTGGTTTACTGAAATTATAAAATCCTCTTGGCTGTTCTCAGTCTTCCTCTACTGGATGCTCCACACAGAATTAATAAATTATTTTAATAACTAGCATTCACTAAGTGTTCACTGTGTGCTAGAAACTCCATGACATATGCTCCGCACTGGCCACATCCTCTTTCATAAACCCTCTCTCAACTCTTGGGACACTGTCCTCTCCTGTGTTTGCTGATAGTTCCTCAACTCCTACTTCCCAGTGTCTCTTGCTAATTCCACTTCTATCCACACCATCAGAGACACTGAAACAAGATAGTAGCCCTCTTACATATGTCAGAACCTCAGGATTGGCTTACTCAAATTGCCCATGTCATCTAAAGATTCTGGGAAGGCGTGTCTTTCCGGTTGAGAGCCACTGGTCCACCTACACCTTTCTGATGGGTTTAAGTAGATTGTTTTCTTTCTCTGGACTCCCCTCCCCTCTCCTCTTTTTCTTTTCTTCCTCTTCTCTCTCACTGACAATTCTTAGTTTCAAAAGCACATTTTGCCTTAATTTACTTCTTCCCTCCCTTCCTACTTTTCCTTCCTTCCTTCCTTCTTTTCATCCTTTCTCCTACTATTATCATCTTTTTGTTACCTCTTTCCACCACAGTGCCTAGTATAATGCCTATTTTAATGTATGTTCTATGCATTTTCTCTTGCAGTGCTTTGCACAGAGTAGGTGTGCAATAATTATCTGGATTGAGCTAGATATGCTTATGTGTTTACCCAGCAGAAAGGTGTGAACATTTCAACACTTTAAAAAGACTACATAGAAATTAAATACAGTAGTCAAAGATATAAAAGTGTAAGTCTTTGGACAATAACTTCTGACAGAGTTAAGGATATATTCAGGTGCTCCACAGTGCTTACATGCGGGGGAGTTTTTATCTAACACCTCTTCTTGGATGAGCATTGAAGAATGGATTGGGGAAGAAACAGAGAAAGGAAGAGCAGTTGTTTATCTTTAGGTAACTTTAAAGTGCCAGTGAAAGATAAGACATAGAACATAGACATGAGCATAATTTTATAGAGCAACAGTAATGTGACACTGGAGGAGGGCATCTGCAATGATTAATTCTTGTCTGTTTGTTTTTGAGACAAAGTCTTGCTCTGTTGTCCAGGCTGGAGTGCAGTGGCACAATCTAGGCTCACTACAACCGCGGCCTCCCAGGTTCAAGCAATTCTCCTGCCTCAGCCTCCTGAGTAGCTGGGATTACAGGTGCACAACATCATACCGAGCTAATTTTTTTGTATTTTTAGTAGAGATGGGTTTCACCATGTTGGCCAGGCTGGTCTAGAACTCCTGAGCTCAAGTGACCGCCTGGGCCTTCCAAAGTGCTTGGAATAAAAGGGGTAAGCCACTGCACCCAGCCTGCAATGGTTAATTTTTTACGTCAACTTGGCTGGATTAAAGGATACCCAGAGAGCTGGTCAGCATTATTTCTGGGGATGTCTGTGAGAGTGTTTCCAGAAGAGATGGCATGTGGATCTTGGATCAGTGAACTTAATAAGAAAGATCCATCCTCATCCAATGTGGGCGGGCACCATCCAATTGGTGGGGGCCTGAATAGAACAAAAGGGCAGAGGAAAGGCAAATTTGCTCTCTCTTCTGGAGCTAGAACACCCTTCTCTTGCCCTTGGACAGCAGAACTTCAGGTTCTCTGGCCTCTGGACTCTGGGATTTGCACAGGCAGATGCCCAGTTCTTAGGCCTTCAGCCTCAGACCAAGAATGACCCCAATAGCTTCCCTGGTTCTCCTGCTTGCAGACAGCCCTTAATTGGACTTCTCAGCCTCCATAATCGCATGAGCCAAGCTCCCTAATAAATCCACCCATATATGTCTCTCTCTCTATGTATCCTATTGGTTCTGCCTCTCTGAAAAACCTGACTAATACTGTATCTAAATTCCTTGGCAGTCCCCAATCATGTCTAGAAATTTGACAAAATTTATGAAACTTGAGGACTGTAATTCAACACCGTATCCTCAGTCCTGTCAACTAGAATATTTAATAATTACTGAATTCACAAGTGAATGAAGAGTGCTTTTTAAAAATTACTAACAATTATTGAATACTATGAGCAATATACTATGTTTTGTGCTTACTGTATACTATTCCTTTAATCTCCATAACAACACCCTAGGAAGAATATAATATAGTTATTCACATTTTACAGATAAAGAAACTAAAGCTCAGATAAGTTACATGAATTGCTGAAGCTGGAAAAAATAAAATCCCAATGGCCTGCTTCAGACCCCTGCTCTTCAGCCTGCAGTATGGCTTCCTGAATGAACGGCTAGCATCCCGAATTTTTATCTGCTATATTAAGCATCTTACTCCAAGAAGAAATTTTGGCTGCTAACCATCCAGCATTCATTTTTACTGCTTTATTATAGGCCCCAGAAGGAATAACAGTTAACCATTTAGGGACCTCTCAAAACTTTGTCAGTTTAACCATCCTTTTCTTGGGGTTGCACTACTGTCCAGTGAGTGCATAGTGAGGGCAGTACTGCTAACGCCTAAACACCACACTCGCATCAGCTAAAGCTTTGCTTTACATTGGTTCAATTTTTGGAAAAAATGAAAACCAAAAAAAAAAAAAAATTAAAAAAAACCCCGACTTTGCCAGTTTATTGAAGTTGCACCTCCAACAATTTGTTGCCTATGGAAAGAGTACTTGTTTAACCTGACTTGATTCTCTGCCATTGTGCATGATTTCAGCTGTAGGACAGCATCACTGCAGTCATCCAAACCATTAGCCAAAGGGTTTCTTTAAAACATGCATTGCGTGCAACAAAAGGGCAAAACCTTAATACGGTTTTATTTGCCAAGTAAATGTAGCTGTAAATTAATTCCTTACATCACTGTTCATTAATATTTAATATATTTATATGAAGGATGCCACTTCGCAATTCCCCATACACTCAGCATTTAATAATCTAGAAACAGCTTATCTTCTTTAACTCACTGAGACTGGATTTGCAATAACTAGTAATGTTAAATGTATTTTTAAAAAATCAATAATAAATAAATGCATAAGCACTTCCCTCTAGAATGCTTCTGATGTTATTTACAAAATTAAAAAAAAAGATGACAGATCCACAAGGGACTTTATAACCATTTCATTACCACCTCCCTAATTGTGTGTGGTAGAACTGTGTAATCTGTTTATTGAAATTGAAATCTTTGGAAGGGATCCTCCCCACAGACATTAACAATAAGCATCTCATGCAATAACATAGTACTTAATATAATATTAACATTATATGCACCAGGCCTTAACCGCTCGCTGGTTCCCCCATTGGAATTGAACATTTTAACACTCTGTGCTCTGCCTCAGTATTCAATCCTATATCTAATTTACAGGCTGTAAAACACAATATTCACAGATTACAATAAATACAAAGAAGTTCTAAGGACACATCTGGTGTTACTAGGAAAAGAGAGACTATTTTGTTTGCAGTAGAAACAAAAGAAAACTCCCCTTAAAGTTCTGACCATGAAGAAAACCATTCTGTTCAGTACTGCCAGTCCAAGTGACACAAAAGCGTTACTCTGACATTAGGTGAAGGTATCTGCATGTAAATGGTGCATGACTGAAATCTAGATATCCCTCCCCAGCTTGCTTTTCCTGAAGAGGTAAGCAGGGAAGGGAAGAGCAATAAATGAGGGCTTGGGAACACTGGTTTTCATCTTGAATCTTCCTGAATGATCTTGTATGCTTTTGAGTAGTTTAACTTCTCTATACCTTAGATTTTGTATCTCCAAATAAACAAGATGAACGGACTGTCTAGAAGATTCCTTCCAGCTATAAAACTCAAAAAATCTGGAAGAAAATCCTTCATGTATGAAAGTTAGTTTGCAAACCCCACTCTGAGATTTTTTTTCGTTACGCTTTAAGCAGTATCTCTTAAATTTCAAGCTTTCTCAGTAACAGAGCAATTAAAACAGCATTCATTTCATGCTGTATAGTTTTCTAAACTCTTTTTATATATTATCTCAATTAATATAAAGCACAATACTGGACATAAATTATATAGCTGAGATGAAGACTAGAGACAGGGTTAAAAGGGAAAAACCACGTGAAATTGCAAAATATCTATGGAATAATGGAGAAGCCTCAAAAGTCAATGAACACTTGCCCAATTCTTTCATGATCATTCAGCTAACTTAAATGATCTAATAGTGCTCTATAGTTAAGATGGCCTTTTGCAAAATACATGTTTACTATCATACTATCATCCACTAATCTTAAATACAGCATAAACATTTCCTCATTGTTTGTGTTCCATGCCTGCGTTAGGCAAGCAAATCACATTCTGGATTTTACTTGGTCATTTGAAGAGAGATGTAGACCTTTCCTAGGTCATTAGACCTCTATCAGCCAAAATGTGTACTTAATATGTATTTTTGAAACTAATAATTATTTAATATGAAAAATAATATGACCCATCAGATTCAGGATAGGTGTTACATTTTGGGAGTAGGAAGGGAAATTTTATCAAGAAGGAATCCTCAGGAGCTTCAATAATAGTTAGTATTACATTGTTTAATGTGGGTGACTGATTGAATAGCATTTGCCATATGGTTATTTACACATTTTATATAAAAACATATAGGTGAGATTTTCACACTAAAATATAATAGGTAAACTTTTAAAATAAATTTCTCTTTCAAGTCTATCTTCCTTTCAGAAAGCTTAGGGGACAAAAATTAAGACCACTGAATTATAACGTAAATTTAAAAATTGGGTGTTTGCCTTTTATTTATGCATGCTCTGATACAACATGTAGTTGTCTTGAGAGTAAAACCTTTCAATACATAGGAAACCAGTTTAAGAGAAATATTATGGGATACATTTGATATAGATATGCTAGCAAAGTTTTTCAAAGGTATTTTCAACTTCAGAACTTACAATTTGCAAGTTCAGTTTTTCTAAATGGAAATTATAGTTTTCCAGAATGGTCTTCAACAAATCATTCTCTTACTCTCCTCCTTCTTTTCTCAAAAATAAAACCACTTTTCACTATTTTTACATAACTTTGGAAAGCAAGGCATCCTGGCTACAGTGAAAAAGATTTTTAATAACCTTTCCATCTCACCCTCTTCATCGCTTTCCTCTCATATAAGGTTGTTCTATCTCACTACTAAGAAAAAAAATTTAAGACTGAACTTCCCCCCAACCTCCCACAAAAAAATCAGTAATAGCAAGAGAAATACTGGTTTGGAATTATCGTTTCTTTTTAAAAGTTGATCAGTTCCTTTCAGAACCCCAAATGCTTTATCTTTAATCTGATCTTGTTTTGCCTGCTTGAGTATGAGATTGCTTTATCACTCATTCTACCACATTGGCCATTGAGGAGAGTCACTATACTGCTCTCACTTTCAGGTGTGGTTCTTTTACGGATGAAAGGTGGAGAACCTGTGTCCCGGGATCATTTTATCACACAGCCTCCTTGCACAATTTCCAACTGTCCTACAACCTGAAAGCATGAATCAGCACATAGTATCAGGTGAACAGGACATGTTGAACTATTTTACTATTTCTGTGCCATGAGATTGCTATAGAAATACAGCCACCTTCTTCATTTTGCTGGAGTTCTCCCTAGATTCACAGGAAACAAAGGGAAAGATTACTATGTCTGGAGCCAGGGCAATCATCAGTACATTCATTGCAGTAGCAGTATTCTCTTCCCCAGTCATCATCTTCTTTTCAACTTGGCTAGGCGGCTCCACCCTCACCCACAGAGCCTATATACAAAAAAAGAGCATGAATTCATGCTTCATTCAGGATTATCAATCCTAGAAATTGGTTCTACCTGTGGTTGCAATTTCTAATCCAATTAATTTCAATAAAATGGATCAACTATTAGCAACATGGGAAGTACTATAGAGAAGACCAAGACATAAACCTTGCCTTTAAGGATCTTAGATGTGAATGAACTTAGACATAATGCTCAGACACATGAGTGCATAACAGTAACAGTGCTGTTAAGTGAGCACTTACTGTGTTAGTAACTAAGCAAAGAGCTATATGTATGTTTGCTCATTTAATTCTACAAATGTCCTATACAGGCATTATTATTCTGTGACCAAGAGAGCTTATATACCGAGGTCCTAAAGCAAAGTCAAAGCAGGAAGCAAACTCACGCCTACCTTACTCCAAAGCCCATGCTGTAACTACCGTCTTACATGCCCAGCTCAGCTGCTTAGCCAATGAGACAGACAACAGAGTATGGGAATGATCGGGAAAAGTTGGAAATACAATCCTTTTAACTTGATTTTAAGTGAATTCACCAGATTAATGTTTGTACTTTGAAATGTTTGGCTAACAAACCTATTAGTAATGTATGCTATTCATTGTGTTTATAACAGTATTTCTCAAAATCTAAACCATCTTTTATTTTTAAAGCTAATTATCACTATGAACAGCCAGATTTCAAACAGATAGTATGGATGTTTATGTGTTCCTACCAGTTACTTGTGAACATTATAGGTGGCAGAGTATATTGAATTAGCTGTCATCCCTCCTTACACCAGCAGCAAGGGTACCCATCTGATCTCTCGCCCTCCCAACCACCTGGCTGTTTTTTCAAGTGCACCCCCTTTACCCCCAAGGCTCATGGTACTGCACTCTTTTGCCTGGATGTTAAGGGACTCAGCTATAGTACTGATTTTTACATTCCTATTCTTTAGAATAACAAGCATCATACAGAGATGAAGGGAAACAACTGAACAAGTAGCACCAAATCTTTATCTGGGCTATTGTAATAAAAAAGAAAGTCAGATTAATCAGTGTATCTGTTCATTTCTTTTAATCTTTTAATTAATTGTCAACTACAGTAGTAGTATGAGGGTACTGATTTCATTTCATTTCATTGATTTACCCTGAAATAAAAATGCATCAAAACTGTTCTGCTGACATCTAGAATCTCTGGATATAAATGTAGATGTTTTAAAGTGACTCCCTATTTTTTTCATGCTCTTGACCCCATTTTCCCCCAAAAGGGTGGGATGCAATCATATCATGTAGCAAAATCAGAGAAGCCACCATGTCTGAGATCCTGGGTTGGTGCAGGAAGACGCAAGGTGTGTCACATCAGTCCCAGCTTGATGTCATGAATAAACACCACATCAGTTCAAATACAGATCAATCTATTATTTTAAAGCAATAGAAACTGCCATCATTGGTGCTGAATGCTCAGTATTGCTCTTCAACCCTCCAACCTTCATAATAATATATATATGAAATCTTTTCTCCATCAACATTATATCGGCTGCTAGTGTTGACACTAAGTCTCTCCCATCCACCTTTGTCCAATGCACAGCCCTCAGAAACCATTTCTTATTGGCTAAAAGCAGATAAATCTGCCAAAAGCCAGTGCTTATTTCTTTCCCAAGAGACCTCACTTGAGTAAGTGTAAGCGAGCATAACTCTGTGTGTTTTCTTACCCAAAGTGACAGGCAGCCTGGGAACAGAAGATCTCCGTTTCTTAACTCAGTACCCTGGATTTGGATGATTTAACTATATATAAAGGCAGCACTAGGTTGATTTGAAAGATACATTTTATCAAGTTGT